CGAGCAAGACGTTTTACTCGAAGCTGTTCAGGATAAGTTACCTACTGGTGCTGATGAATGGGAGCTTGTACAAGTTTTTTTCAAGAAGAGAATGGTTGAAGTTGCAAGCCAAAATGGAACCGGAAACAATCAAGTGGCCGTACAAGTCTACGACCGTGACTCCAAGTCACTCAAGGCGCTTTTTGGGAGATTCAAAAATGCGAAGTCACCTACAGGTATGTAAAGGTTTAATTGATGATACTCTTTTACAACTATTAACAATAAGTGTTGATCATCCACTAGGTACTCCAAGTAGGGGACCTTTGAGTGTAAAGGCAAGGGAGATCGAAGAGCTGATCAAGCTTAAAACGGCCGAAGCTGAGCTAGGAGGAATTGATGATGAGTTCGAAGATGGTGATGTGGAGGCAGAGACTGTGGTCACGGCAGTGGGGGGAGGAAACAACTTTCCAACAATCGAAGAGCAGGCTGTGGAGAATGCAGCTGCTGACGATCAACACGCTTCCTCTCCTCGTTCGGTCTCTCGTACGACACCCATATTAAGAAAGACGAGGGCCGCGCAGGCAAGTAATCTGCAAGATTTCACGGACACTTTTGCTCATTACATGTCTGCGGCCATCAAGACCATGGAAGGTCCGAGCTCAGAAGACTCTCCTGGTGCCGGTGGTAATGACGTCTATGGAAGTCGCCTGACATCGTTGGAGAGCAGCTTGGAGCTGATGAGCAGCCAGGTAACAATTTATATTCTCGCATTACTTATTATTGAATGAGATTATCTAACTATATAAATGGAATAGGTGAATGATATGAGGGGACTTCTTGGTCAAATACTTGCGAAGGTAAGAACGATAAAAGCACTCATTCTTTGTATGGCAAAGTTCCTAATTGTTTTATGCTTAGATAAATCCCGCCGAAGAAAGTCATTCTTCTGAGGGTAATGAACAGAATAAGCGCCAAAGAAAAAAATAAAAAGTTAAAAAAATTAAAAAAGTTAAAATTTGACCTTGGTAGAGGGGGGGGGGGGGGCCTCAATAAACTTTGGCTGTAAATTTTTAAATTAAAATCAAGTTAAAAAATGGTTACACAAATCCAAAAAAAGGAGAAAATATTTAAATCCCGGTTAAAAATTAAATTTTGGAGTTTTGGAAGTCTTCCATTATATATCATTTAGGCAGGATATTATAGCCAAATGGGATTTGTAGTTACTAGCAAAGCAGTCATCTTCAGGTTTTCCCATGAAGCTTACAAAGGGTCCAGTGCACCGAAAACAGATGGTTTAAGTTACCAACAATATCTTACAACCGTCATCGTCCCTGAAATTGCTTGTTGGATTATCGCTGAAGACCAAGGTGTGAAATATGAAGATGCAATTCTAATTATGAAACAAACCCATAAAGTTGGCGAACCCTACATCCTTTTGACTTCGAAGCCGATTTTTTGGAAGACTAAAAATCAAAACAATTTAAATTATATATTATAGAGTCATGCAAAAATAAAAAAACACAAAGCTCTCATTATCTTTTTTCATACATAAATTAATTACGTGAGATAAAACACGCCAATTAAAAACACGTTGAAAAACAAGGTATGTAGAAAAAACAAAGTACGTAGAGAAAAACAAAAAAGTACGGCAAAAAAAAAAGTACTTAGAAAAAAAAGCAAAAAGTACATAGAAAAAAAAAAGACGAGGGTGTAGATATTCCCAAAAAAAAACGGGGCTCCCCTTCGGGTCTCTGATCCCATATAATAAAAGGCTTAACTATTTCGTGAAGTCGCAGATCTTCATAAACCTTGTGTGCAAAATGCAGTAGGGCCAAAGCGTTTTTCTAAAATCATTACAGAGCGTCATATGCTCGATCATGATAGACTAGAGTTGATCTACCTGATAAATGTATTAAAGAAGAAGAAAAAGGAAGCTGAAAGGGTTGGGGCCTTTTTCATATCTGCTTCCACCAATTAGGCACCCTTTTCGTCCTTTGACGATCAATTAGAATATGCTGGCTATGTGCCAACGCCAGTATACTTTAGAACACTTTACACAAGTATTATTGAAGACGTAAGACCGTTTATGGACAAGATGCTCATGTTGACTGGTGGAAAAATCATTTGTGGTAACCACTCTTTCAAAATTTGTAATAGGGGGTTTCATTAATTATTTTCATTTTCTCAAGAAATATTTTCTCATCCTGAGAAAGAAAAATTATTTTTCTCAAAAATTGAAGCAATGGTATTAGCTGATTAAATTTATGAGAAAAACTCATGAGAATGAGAAACAGTTAATGAAACCCTCTATTGTCAGTATCACTCATCCATTATATATATTAACTATGACTGAAATTTTTAGTTGACCATATTGCTAAACGTTGACAAATCCAGTGCCTTCACAGCACTTTATACAGTAGTCAATGAGTATGAAGAAATTCGGTTGATGTTATTGGTTCCATCCAAGTCCCACTCATACTTGAAATGGTTATTTGAAAAAATGTATGATGCTTACAAGATGTACGGACACGAGCTCCCCACTGTTTTTTTCACTGACGATGTACATGCTGATAGACGGCTTATTGAAAGCGGCCTCCCATATTTAACTGCAGGTGTTCAAGAGCCGAGTTATGGAAATGAATGCAACGCCGCTTTGGAAATATACTCTGAGATGGATTTACTTGATTGTGTAAAGGTCAAATATATCATGCAATTTCACGAAATTGAACACGCCATTGCTGAGTTAAATCAAAAAATTTCATTAGATCCTAGCATCACACCTGCTGTAGGATTTGATTGTAAATAAAGCTATAATGAGGAAGCCAACCTTTCCAGCAACGGGATTGATACCATACAAATTGCGTATGATGAAGATGTCATCATTCTTCATGTCACCAATATCTGGAATAATCTACCTGTTTCTTTGGTAACCTTTTTTAAAAAAAAATATTCTCAAAATTGGAAAGCAAGTCGCTGGTAATTTGAACCAAATTCAACGTTCGTTCACTGGTGTGATTTATGAGTCTCCAGTAGAACTTGGGATTTTTTGCAAACGTCGAAATTTGATTGAGCATGGCAAACTCAATCTGTCTGAAATTTCAGAAAACGAATTGGGGTGCAACTTTAACAAATATGAAAGAATTGGAGACTGGAGTGTATCTTGTTTGTCAGAAGTTGAAAAACAAATATGCTGATATAGATGCTTGGGCTTCTTTGAACATTTACGAAAAGACTATAACATTACCGGAAGTATCAACATGTCTCTCCTTTGGTAATATCGCTGTCCCAGGAACCTATGTGAGATTTAGACGGAAAGATTCGAGTAGTTATGTTGCGCTTGGCAGAGTAGACGAGCAAACCGCTGAAGACAGGGAGAAGTTTCAAATCACAACGGATTACTTAATTGCAAGTCGGGTCATTGTTACAATTTTACATGTATCAGCACCTGGATATATAACATGTGGCATCGCCAAGACACCTCGCAAAAGTCCAAATAATGGTAAGCCGTTGGGCTCGTATCTCCCGGTACCATTCGAGTTGCTAGTTTTGAAGGCTGATTTAGAGACTGATTCTGCGGAATTCGTCAACGGTTTCATAAATAACACCAGATCGAATAGCAGCAATAATACTCAAGATGAACGTGTGGTACAAAATGAAGACGAAATTGGGGATTTACAGGAGACTGGAGAAGCGGATATTTTAGAAGTAATGAAAAACATGTTTGATGACTGTTGTGATAGTTGAGGATAGAGATAGATAAAGAAAAACAATAAAATACTTTGAGACTGCTTATAAGTTTTATTAAGAGTGAAAGTAGATTAAAAGATTGAGAGGGTTCTATTCTAACTATCAGTTTGCATATTTATATATGTTAAGAGAAATCGGATTATGAATTTAGTTTGATGGATAAGTTACACAGCACTAAAATAGTGCTTGTAGTTGGATATGATATAATGTATAAGAGATTAGTTCGTGTTGTGATGTAATAATGTATGGGGTGATGAAATGAGATTTAATTTTAATATTGTTTTATGGTGTGATCAGTAACAACAGTAGGTGGATCACCACAACTGTATTCCTGATGTTGATCGAGAAAATTTTGAATAAAGTTACAAAAATGTTATGCCAATCAACAACCTAAATTCCGCTCCCCACAACAGTAGGGTGTTTAGCCAAGTTATAAAAGATGTTTTTCATCTTATGGATCTTATTAAAACAACATCCAATCACGGTTTGCGGCTTGAATTTTCTCGAAGATTTCGTGACACGCTATTGAATTCGGATGCTGAAGACTGTCGTATTTGGGTACGATTAACTTAAGAATAATTAAGAAAATCGTTTAAATAAATAAAATATGAAGTTAAAACAACCTTTGATGTTGCATATAAGCATACGCTTGTATACTGCTATACAACTTCTCCTACTTCGAGTACATACTTCTATATAAAAGATTGCATCATTGGCCTAAATACGATATAAGAATGACAGTTGGATACAGAATGCTATACCACTGAGTTACGATATCACCGATCGAGAAGAGAAACTTCTCTGATCAATCAAGAATTATAAGAAAGAGAAATTTAATATTAATAATTCTCTCAATGGATTAGCTACCCAGAGAGAGAATAGAACAGCTATTAATATAAATGGTTCATTTACTTATATATTGATATAATTATACTGCTGATAAAGAGTATAAAGAAATAGTGTATGAATTAATGGATACCTAGCTTCTACAACCAAATATACAAATATCGATAACACATTTTATATTTGGGATCGTAATTTATTCATTACAAAGATAATGAATAAATGATCAACTATTATGTTCTATTGCCAATTACACTTGACAAACAAGTATGCATCTTTTACAGTAACCGTTGCATGATCTGATAAATAAGTGTCTCATAATACTAAAGATTTATTAGAATACTCATGCTCCCGATCCACTGATATGGGAAAACGTTAACTGGAGACAATTCTAATGGGTAGTATCCATTTAACCCAAGGCGGGAAACAAAGTATAGATCTATTCGATAACCAGAAAGGATGACTCATCATTAAAACTCAGGAGAGTTTTGCAATATAAAAAGGAACAATTATTTCATAGCAGCAGAGTTCTTTTAGTCTATTGTTACCTCTAATAAAAATATACTTTTATCTCATTACTTTTCCATTGTAATAATTTGTCAAATACCAAAAAGACAAAGCCGAAGTTGAAAAGATCTTGAATGAAAACCTACGTACAACCTGTGATGACAAGCTTAAATATGATTGTGAGTGGGTATGGAAAAGAGTTAAGAAAATAGTCCGTGAGCCTTCTTCTCTTTTCACGCAACTCAAAATGCTGTTTCTCAAATTTGGTCCCTTAAAATGTTCTGTCACTGGAAGTTGTTTGTTTGACAAAGTTGTTTGAAGCCAAGCAGCGAATATATTACACTCAGTAAATCTTGTTCACGTTTCCAACCGTCCTGATGTTGTTTTATACCTCAACATGGGTGTAGATAAATATGGTCTTACAAAGTATCATTGCTTGCGTGGAACAAATTGACTTGAAGGTAGCGTACACAGACACATCATCAAGACATTTGGTCCGTATGGTGCTGGCCTTGCTTTAACAGATAATGCTCTCGCAGAATTCAGAATGTGACACAATTTGGACGTAGATGTCAATTTCAAGATTTTATGTTTTAATATGTACCTAATTATTTTCTATATTGTGATTAATTTTATGTGGTTACAGCTAACAGATACCTTTAAAATTACCGATCTCATTATGATCCATGGCTGACACAAATAATTCACGAAAAGCGATTATTTCTGGAGTTTCCAACCGACGCTAACCAGATTGCAATTGGGTTGGACTCAACTCAATATCAAGGATCTGACGAGAGTTTTGGTATATGTCCTATGTCCACTGATGTTATGGAGAAACTATGTATAGAGAAATGTACGTTTATTGTGAAGCTCACTCGAAAAAACAAAAAATAACAATTTTATTTTAGGTTTCAATCCCAGTAAGAATGTGGATGACTTCCAAAATGCAGAATAGAATTAACTCCGGTAATTTGATTTTCCGATTTAATTTTATTTTGTTCCGAAAGCATGAAAATAGAATTAACTTTCATTAAATGTTATTAATGTTCATAATTCAAAATGTCTTGCTCTTTCGCCTTCCAATTAGCATTGTAAACAGTTTTAATTTGATTGACGCCAACCGTTTTTACACAGAAGTTGTCTAGTCTCCATACAAGGTTCAGGATTTCATAAAGCTTAGTTTTATCCGAAGGAAGCTTGGTGTGAAGTCTTCTAAACGACCCTTGTATGGCTCTCATACCCCATTCCACTGCCTGTCTATACTTAGAAATGATAGCATGTTTTTTGCGTCTGCACGTGGGTTCTTTCAACGCCAATTGCGTTTTCTCTTGGTACACTCAGCACTTTGTTTTCAAACTCTCGCTTACAAGGGAAAACAGAATCCGCAAGAAGATTGAATGG